GTAGCTAGGCCTCTATTAACGTGGATTCATAACTGTGCTAGGGGGGTCCGGGGGCCTGGCCCCCTGGACATTTTTAAAAACAATGGTGCAATCTGGTGCATTCTGGGCATTCTGAGGTGCTTTATTTAGTACTCGAAAATGGAAAGTTTTAGGATCTTAAATCAACAAATAAACCCTTTACTCGGCATATTTTTTCTCTTAAATAGAGCTAAAATAGCAAACAAATACGAGCCCCGATTATGTTAATAATACCCAGATTATCTAACAGAAGTATAATTTTCTGTCCTTTTTGCCAGCGAACTCACTGTATTATTATATTTTCAATGTCAATGTCCATTTGTCTAACTATGCAACATTGCTCGTCCAGACAGACGTTCAGTGGACATAGTGGAACTCATGTAGTTTTTCACCCTTCTCATGATACTGAACTGCCTCTCAGTTGAGACTGTTGAGACCGGCATGGTAATAAGCCACACTACCAGACTTATGTAAATGTTGCACTAAGGTCAGAAGGCTTTGTTTCTTCCAAAGACCGGGCAACTTTCGAATTCACGTCTGAAGCTTTCACGATCTCCACTAAAGTCGTCATGAAATGCATCAAATATGGCATCTTCTTGAGCAGGTGTCTTCAATGGCTATTTAGTATAGAAACGACAAGGAACGTTTGATATAAGCATGCAGTCAAGTACGCATAAGGCAACTTTAGCTGAATTTTTGTTTGTTTGTCAGAATCATGTGGATTCAACTGCGTACTCGCGTATAGGCAGCTACGCGCCTGATGACTGAGTGAGATGGTCCCTTTGTCAAGCTATGATTGACTCAGTCATAGAGTGACAAAGGGACCAGTTGGTCTTGAAATGTTTAATATGTACATTGTGTATGAAGTAAAAATTTGATATACATATTTCCAAACTGATCAATCTTATTTAAGAAAGCAGACTACTTTTGCCGACAACAGGCTTTTAAGGACTTCCCACCCTTTGTAATACACATGTTTTTCTTGTCGTATTTTCGTGTCTTCATTTTTCCCTATTGCATAGGGAATATCAATACCGTAGTGTAAATTATAGTAACAGCTGGTAAACAATAGTACACATGTGTGACGATGATATGTTAACACCCGATGTTGAGACTGAACTGGGAAGTGTGTAATCACACGTACTTCAGAAATAAAGATTCTGATACAAAGGTAGAAACTCACTCACAGACATGAGACCAGACGACTTCATGAAGGTCATATATGAAGCGCATGGAATAAAAATCATAAAAAACATAAAAATCTACCATGCTCTAGCGGGCTGTGGAATGAAGTCCAAAGTGTACATGATTGAGAGTAATTTGGTTCCATAAAAGAACATTAAATTATCACTTTTGATATCATAATTTTAATTTATTTCAATCATTTTTGATATTTTTTAACAGAGATCACTGTCATTGTGTAAATGTTATCCCTCTGTAAAAATTCCATTTTTTTTTCAAGGAAGACAACTCTCACCAGGATCAAAGTGATTGTAAAATATAAAATAAATAAATTATATTAAAAGCCATTGTGTATATTTTGTTCAATTTTGCACTACTTTTGTATGAAACTTTGTGTCCTGTTTGCGTTTAGCTTGCAGACAATCACTTTTGTCAATACAATTTCAATAAAAAACACTTTGTGCAACGTGTTTTATATGTTTTGTGACAAATAAAATATTTGTAGGGTTAATTAGCAATGCTTCTTTTCATTCTTTTTATTGTTGTTACTGTTCTGAACAATGCCACACACCAAATAAATGGAAAATTTTAAAATTGAAGAAAAATCATTTTTTGGGGTATTTTTTTCCAAAAATTGCTGTATAGCAATATATTTCAAAAGCATATTTTTATGTTTAAAAGTTAGTAACTACCCATTCTATCTGGTATGCCGATAACCATAAAACAGGATGTTCCTGGTGGTGGAAATCAGTTTGAATTTTGTAATTGATGATTGGTTTGACAAAAATCTTAAATCTGTTTGATTCATATCAAACATGATTAAGTTCGATAACATTCCGACGCCAATTTCTTTTTAATTAGCAGCTTTTCCTGTGACAATATATTGGGATAGATCATACATATTGCAATATATATATCCTGTCTGTATTGCAACATATTATGATACACTCCAAGAATATTGTGACACCCCTATTTTTAAATGGGATATTTTAGGGATAAAATCTGACACACCGGTAAAATGTAATGCAAACAGTGGAAGCCTTTGCCAAGGCTCACCACAAAGCAATTCATTATTTCATAATGTATGGGAGATACGAAAACAGCCCAACAGAGTTTTCATTATCAGGGTTTTGTTGTGTCCCTGACACTATTGAGACCACGCTTTATGCAAGGGCCTGTTCGTTTATGCGAAACAACTGGTTGGTCTGTTTTTAAATGAAACATTTTTCGGGTATAAATCCTGGCAGTCCTGCAAATGTTTATGCAGGCCTTGCAAGGATTTGTCAAGGCTTGCCTGAAAGCAGCATCAGTTTACTAGATCTAAACTTATTTCATAAACGAACAACATTGGTCGAACCGGTCCAACCGTTTGGTTTGCAAAAAAAAGAAAGTGGCCCAACAGAGTTTTCATTGTGCAGGTTTTAGTATGTCTCTGACACTACTGAGATCAACAGAGTTCTCAAAAGCTCTACATCAATCATCATCATCATCATGAACAGTTTTCATTGATCATACTCCACCTACCTTCAGTAAATCTTTCACCTTTTCCTGTACTTCTTCAAAACGAACAGCATCGGTCATGTTTCTATAACTGATGCCACTATAGCGGGTGCGATAATCTGTGACTAATTCCTCAGGACGGCTGTATATATCGTAAACAACATTGCCATGATAATCAACTACACTGCAGCGACCTAATAAACAAAAAATGATAGCACAGGTATATATACATATATAATAACATTTGTCATTAATATGTCAGAATAAGCACCATTGCTGCAATAGAGACCCTCCCCCTATTTTTCAGACCCAAAATGAATTCAATGCCCTTGAAATAGACACAGTTTTCAAGCTACATTGTATAACTTCACTTAAGCCTTTCATCATTGTCTTAAAGCCTAGGAATCAAATACAGCAATGAATTCTTCCAAACAGTATATCTGAAGTGTCCACCTACTGCCACAAACATGGTTCAAGGAACAGCTGGGTATGAACTGGACTCATGTTTCAGACATTGAAAGTGAAAGTAAACGAACAGCTAGCCTCAATTTAGATTACACGATAATTTGCATTTTTCAGGTATGTTGATTTGCTAACTGGATATATAGTACTTGTGCCCAAACCACAACTGGGTCCTTGGTGACCCATTCCAGCCCAAATTTTAAAAATATATCTTGTCTGCTTTCATAACTTTCTGGTAGTAGACCTGGCTTGCCTTACCCACTCAAGTGTCCTGTCATCTTGTTATTATGTACTGTGCAGTATTTATATATATCTGAATCCCTTATTGGTAATTTATTACTGTTGACAGAAAACAGATGCATGCAATACATCATTATTATACCTTATCAGGCCAAATAAAATCAATCTTGTATTTCCGCTAACCCTACCTAACCTAGATTTATGTGCCTACCCTGAAGTTTTTATTGGCAGTTAGTGATTTGCACTGTTAAAGTCAGAAGTCCTGCTCTATATAAGCATAGTAAAAATACTTTCCACAAAAAAAAAATTAAAAAAAATTGCCTTCTTGTGTCTACCCTATTTTACTCTGAGGATGATAGTGGAAACATACATACATGTAATATTTTTTTCTTAGCCTCAGCTTACATAGGTGTCAACCTCTGAGACCTCCAATAAGGGAGATCTAGCTCCCTCTTTCCACATGTCCAATAAGGGGGAAAATGCGTGAAATGTGACTGAAAATGCTTTTCTAAGTTTTTCTTTGCCTTTTTAGTGTACCAAAATAACTCCAAAAGGCATTCATCTGATTCAGACTCAACTTTAGATCATTTGACAGCGGGATGTAGATTTTGAGTTTGTGTGAGTTTGGACTTGAATTAAGAGTTTTGAGGGATATTGGTAAATTTTTGTCAAAATGAGGAGGTCTCCCTTGGAGGCTTGACAGCTATGATCCAACACCTTCATACCAGGTGAACTTTGTATAGCGAACAAATGAAAATTGGCAATTACACACAAATGTGAATCAGGATGTCCTGACTAGTAAGATCATACCTAATCTACTGATGCATCCTTTAAAACCCACTCCAACAAATTCACAGTCCACAGCTAGGTATTGATCTGGAGATGGAATCGGTGGTTTGTTACTTGTATGTTCTGTAGTATTTTCTTTATGACTAGGATCAGGTATCTTCAATTGGAAAGACTTTTTATCTGGTTTCACTTCACTTCTGGCATCAGTTAGTTCCTCCATTTTTTTGTCTAATCGATGTTTGAGAATTCTTTCAAGTCTAGATGACAATTTTCGCTTCTTTTTTTCTTTTTCGTAGCCACTACCACCAGGACTTGTATTGGATGTTTCCGTGACATTCGAGGATGTGGATGTCGCCTCGACCGCCGGGGGTTGATCGGGACTGTCACAACTGTTTGACCCCATATCATTTCCATTTTCACACCTTAACACAGAATTTGTTAATTCACTTTGTACTTGGACATCTGTATCAACACCAACACATGGTCGTTTGGCCCCAGTCAAGTCTTCAGCTTTTTGCCGGAATCCGCGTTTCATTGTTCGACGTATTTTACTCATAACCTTTTGCATATCCAGTTCATCAATGTCACTGTCTGCAGCCAACATGAAAGATGGTTCCTCCATTACCAGTCTGAAGTGTTTAATCTGTAGCGACAGGTGCCCTACGTAAGAATGGATCACCTCCTTGATCTGAAGGAAAAACACAAAAAATGTCATTAAATAGATACCTCTTAATCTACTAACTCAATTTTCTCTTAATCAATAACAGACGTTCTGTTATATCAAGAGTAGTTCTATTGTATTAAGACACGTTCGTAAGCATTAAGAGAAATTTTGATCATATTAAGACAGGTTCGGTACAGTTTGTTTACATGTGGACACTGAGACAAATTTTGGCTAGCAGCCGATCTCGATCGCTCATTGGCTCGTTTCATGCTGTGACGGACCCACAGCCTGGTTGGTTTTCATTCATTTTTACAGCTCTACTTTAGGAGTATGCTATAGCCAGAAACTCTTCTACTGGAGATCTGGGCCCGTACATTTGTAAAACTGCCATCATGCTCAAACCTATATTTTGTGCTAAAGCTTGATTTCTGATACAAGAGAGAGCTCACTTTTAAGGTCACCAGAGCTTTGCTCAAGTGACCTATTCTGATCGCTTCAGTCCATCGTTGTGCATCGTCCGTCGTACGTAATCTTTTTACATTTTCGACTTCTTCTCAAGAACCAGTGAATGGAATTTTTTCAAACTTGGTCAGAATCATCCTTGGTAAATGAGGCCACAAAATTGTAATCCCAACCCCAGGGGCCAGGGCAGGGCCCCAACGGGAAAATTAACTAATATTTCAAAATCTTCTTCTCCAGACTCAGAGGTACTTCAGTCAATTTCTCTGCCTGGATGGAAAGATCATCAGGAGCTTTATTTAAATTGTAATTATCAGTACCCCCCAGTCATCCCTTCTCCCTTGGGGAGGTGGAAAAGTTTACTATAGTTTATATCTAATTATAGGGAAATGAAACACTATTCTCTTTCCTTTTACAAATGTTGTCCGTGGCCCTACCTGTAGTGACAGGGAGTTAGAACCTTGGTTGTGGTGTTCGAGGGCGAACACATTTAAAAAGGAGAGAGTAGTGTGGGAGGTTTTAATTGTGTATAGGATTAAGGTCGCCTTCTAGATTCAAGATAGAGGGATCCCCTTTAGCTCAGTGGTAGAACGTCTGACTAGGAACCTGGAGATTGAGGGTTCGCTCCTTGGTGGAAGCACACTATTCTTTCTCCTGCTACTTGTGTATTTCAGACATTTGTAACGAATCTGTGTGGACTAGTCAAACTCTTGTTATCATTTACATTGTACAAATGGGTTCCAGGTTGTTTCTCCCCAAATCTCGTTTGCCCTAGCTATAGGTTGTTTCGCGCTAGGTTGTTTCCCCCTAAAACAATTTTTTTAGGGCGAAACACTGTTTGGTATTTTCTTTTCATTTTTATTAGTTTTAAGTCACAAATTAGGTCTACTTAGTCTTCCATATCATTAAAATCAGTTTTATTACAAAAAAATGTGTTTGTGTTGTAGATTGTAAAGCAAAAAACGGAATACGTAATTTTNTTCCAATGGAAATTAAACAAATGTTGGTCCAAAATGTGATTTCCCTATATAAACTATAGTAAAGTTTACCCCCTCCCCAGGGGAAAACGTGAGACCCCAGGGTCAAGAAATTCACAATTTTAGTAAAGCACCTTAAGACCCTTCTATCTATGAAGAGTATTTGATTCTACCATATCTGGATCTTGAGAAGAAGATTTTAGTCAATTTTACCCTTTTTGGCCCCGCCCCTCAGGCCCCTGGGGGCTGGGGACCATATAATTCACAAGTTTAGTTGACCTTTGGCAATGGAACGTTTCTGCAAAATTTCATTGAAATTGGTTTAGGGGTTTTGGAGAAGAAGTCGAAAATGTAAATTGTTTACGGACGCACGACGGACGACGGACGACGCCGGACAAAAGGCGATCGCAATAGGTCACTTGAGACTTTGTCTCAGGTGACCTAAAAATGTAGTATTACTCAGTATTATTGGTTTGATTACACACCAACTTCACGCTTCAACCACGCTCTGATGAAGCCATAACTTGTCCGCTAGGGGGCGCTCGTATCATAGAACACCGATCAAGGGAAATAAGCCAACCTCACTCGGAACATATTTACTAAGGCAAAGAGGAAGTTGCGTATCCCTCCACTACACATCCCTGTGTAAACAAACCAATAATAATGAGTATTACAACATTTTTTGTTTATCTTGTAAGTTGTTTATATTACATCTGGTAACACTTCGATCCGCGATGTGTTGACATGACACCGGAAGCAAGTGCGAGTATAACCTGACGCTAGCGCGCAAGCGCAGACCGGCCAGAGTAGGCCCTCGATGTCCAGTGAACAAACACAAAAGCGACGATAAGTGTTCGCCACTGGACTCGGAGTTGCAAATCCCTCCATTACACATCCCTGGGTAACCATGGTTTTCACAAGTCCCAAATCTGGGGAAAACAGTTTTTGAAAAAAAAAAATCAGTCTTCTTAACAAAACGAAATAAAAATGCAGTTTATAAATATGTATATATATATGTAGGTGTGTTGTGCAGGTTGAACTCACTATCCATGTTTATGAGAGACTTAGTAAATATTTTCCGAGTGGGGTTGGCTTATCTCCCTTGATCGGTGTTCTATGATACGAGCGCCTCCTAGCGAACAAGTTATGGCTTCATCAGAGCGTGGTTAAAGCGTGAAATTGGTGTGTAAACAAACCAATAATAATGAGTATTACAACACTTTTTGTTTATCTTGTAAGTTGTTTATATTACATCTGGTAACACTTCGATCAGCGATGTGTTGACATGACACCGGAAGCAAGTGCGAGTATAACCTGACACTAGCGCGCAAGCGCAGACCGGCCAGAGCTATCACCAGGAGACAAACACGAACATATCGCAGCCTCCCAAAACACACACGCATGCACTACATGCATGCATCTTGCACACAGGGGAGGCCGTCCTTAAATGACCATAGTTGTTGAAAACCAAACCAAACCTACTTGGTAACCGTCTGTTTAGGTGTGAAATTTGTGTACAGGTAAATAGCACTAAACACACCGGTGTCTAGTGATGACAGCAGTTTAATTGTCTACTCAATAGGAGCTCATTTCATCATAACAATTGTAAAAAAGTCATTATATGTATTTAGTACTTTAAATATTACCTACATAAGTGAGTGACGACGGAATAAACCATATAAATAGCTAAAAGGCTCGCATATCGAACTCACGATCGAACCCACCCAAATCGATGCGAGCGCCGCTGAGCCAAAGGTGTGTTTTTCAGATAAATAGCAATATCTCGGAAACGGTTCAACTACGACGTTCGCACTTTCTTAACCTTTTAATGTGTTATATGAATTAAGTGTTTTGGTCGTTAGACAATTCGCCCCAAAACCGTAACGCCCCAAGCTGTTGCAACCAGTTCGCCCCAAAAACCCAGAGACGTATATACTAACCTTTTCCGCCCCAAAAGGACTACAACGTTAAAGTGAAATATCTACCCTTTACTGTATGTAATATTCTTAAAGATAGTTATTAATAAATAGCTTACGTTCAGGGTACACTTTAATCAGGGATGTGTAGTGGAGGGATTTGCAACTCCGAGTCCAGTGGCGAACACTTATCGTCGCTTTTGTGTTTGTTCACTGGACATCGAGGGCCCACCCCACCCGGTCACATTATACTGACAACGGGCAAACCAGTCGTTCCACTCCTAAATTGCTGAGCGTTAAGCAGTAGTCGAAACTAACGTTTTTACAGACGTTGGTATGTCTCGGCCAGGGGACAGAACCCAAAGTCTTGCTTCCTCACAGGGGCGAACGCTTAACTAAAGGCCAAACGTGAGATATTGGCTAGGGAGACATGTAAATGGAAATGTAATTTAGCATCGCATACATAAGTAATATTGTATAAAATTAAATATGAAACTGTCGGTCGGTAGTTTACTGTTTATTTGAATTGTCGACCTAACACAAGGAAGACACAATGTGTCGTCAATTTGTGATTGTACGGTAATATTTAATATATACCATACATTTTATTACCGGTCAAAAGCATATAGCAGATATCAACGTTCAAGTAATTTTGTAAACATTTTTTCACATTTACATTTCCGTGATTTTGGACTGTGGTGGTATCACAGTATATATACTTTAATTTGAAATTTATATATAATCCGGCCCAGAAACTGGTCACTAATTATATAGCTGTGGTGCTGTTCAACGACGACATGATGGAAAAAGTTCTCACTTGTAGCGTTAAGAAAATGATTGCAAACTGACTTTCCAGCGAAAATTAAAGAAAAAACATTTTTTATCAATTACATAGAGAATAATATTTATTGCTGTTAGTTAAATCCCTTCAAATTCGTGTATTACACATTTCTCAGCAGTGCTCGGAAACTGGTGGACAGGCATTGTCTGTGTTACTCTCTTCAGAGTCGTCAGGTTCTTGGTTTCAATTAAACTCGCTTTCTGAAAATTCTAGCAAATTTTGATATGACTGGATTTATGATAAACATGATGTCATCTTCAGTATAAAATATAATTCCTTGGTATAATTGGATTCCTCAAAACTCATATTGATTCGCCATCTGACGCTAGATGCCGGGCTGTTCTCGATCTCGCCTATTCCTTCAATGGTGTTGAACTTGTGACGTGACAACCGATGATTATAAGGTCCCATTCACCGCGAGATACGATTACGCTAGTAAAAAATCGCACACTTTACACGTCAATATCTCGGCATTTGGCTGGCCGATTTTGATGCGGTATTCGACATTTTTGTTTTTGGATCATATATAATAATAATAATATATTAATTTCTATTTTCGTTCAGGGTACACATACTTTAAGCTGTGGACTGACACTATTCAGAGACATATAATGCCAGAGTGTAGCAGGGATGTGTAGTGTATCCCTGAGTGTAGTAACAAATCAAGCACATATACACACATCAGGTATTCCGATACCATTAACAATAAAACCGTACCTATACGTGTCATTAGAAAACCTGCCTTGTTCCTATAGGTTTAATGCAAAACAAATATGTTAGAAAATAAAATGCTTTTGATATGCAAAATATAGGGATATAGTGAAATACGTACACGTAGCTAGCAGCACTCATTATTGAAAACTTTTCAGCTATGAAATTGCTCCATACCTCCAGCTTCATCTCAAACTCTCTGAACCATGGAATTATGCATCTAACGTTATATCAGTCCGTATTTAAACATAAAAATTCAATTTTGATATCTTGGAAAGATGCCATCAATAATGGCGCAGACCAGAGACGTATTATATTGTAATATATATACGACGTCTCGGCGCTTACTAACGTGAGGTTACAGTACATCATGGACAATTGCGAATGTTTTGAATTGTACAAAAATATCATAAAATATTTCTGTTACTTAACTTGAACTTAAACAAACTTGAAATGTTTTAGGTTAGACGGGGAAAAATCCGGGCTCTACTATTTGTGTCTACTTCTCATCCAGCACAGAGCTCATCCACTACACGCCAGTAGTAGGCGGGACAAAATGGCGGCAAACAGGAATCAGACCCGAAAGCACGTGCTACAGCGAATGAATGCTACTATGGAAACTGAATAAATGACTAGACACAACGGTTATTTCTTAGTCGGTTATTAAAATAACAATTAACTCAAGAACTTTACGTACTGACACGAAATTAGATGATATAGCCCTATTTAAGTCCGTACGTGGTGCTAGCGATCGGAAGATTTTTTATTTCTCTTACATGCAGGTCTACACAAACTGATAAAAGACCAAACTACGTACGATGATGAAGTTTCAGGGACCATAAATATTGCATTCTCGAGACAATATTATTTCGGTGATTATAAAGACATTAATTAACGTTATATTACATTAACTATAAAGTATATGAAGATGTTGTGGGGTTTAGTGTAAACATTTCAGAGATCACATTCCCTTTCTTGCAGAGCTATGGCCCTTTTTCTGCTGCAACAAAGGTATACTCCATCTTTATTTCCCAGCTGATAAGCCACTTGTTAGTGCAGCAGCCCCCTCCCCTCATCCGGTTCCCAGGCCGGTGGAGCCTAATTATGCTGGTCGATTAGTCAATAGGTGTTAATGAGGGTCGCAAACAAGTGTATATTGACTGATATATAACTGATACTGAAAGTAGATACTACAAATATCATCCACTAGAGGGCAGATTGGTTTACATCACTGTTAAAGAAAATAGATTTTACACATCTCATCCACTACATGACAAATTGGTACATATAAGTGTTACAGAAAATTGATTTTACTCATCCA